TTAGTATATAATTATGTAAATCCAAACAATTCGTGTTTTTCAAGTAATTTGGCGAATCGTTTTCAGATCAATGAATACATTAAAAAGGGGAATTTCCCACTTGACACCAAAAAACAACACAGGGACAAAGTTACAGGATAATTTAATTTCGGGTTGTCAACTTGACAGTTGCCGAACTGTGACGTGACTAATTACGAACACCCCTCGACTCTCGACGTAATTATCCCACTTAAATAATAGAAAGAAACGGTAAAAAATATATTAAACACGATTTTTTCTTTTTGCTTAGGGTCTATAGGTGTGTGGGAATGTTCGAACTGTTTTAGATTTTGCTGTCTACCGATGTTTGCTTTTTTCCTGCTCTGCGTCTCGTTTTGTTGGGCTTCCGGTGTGCGTTTTCCTTTCATCCGTTTGCAGAAGACAATGCGGCTGCAATAGGCGGAGGACGTGGAAGAGGATTGAGGTCGCCCTTCGACCACTTAATATATATTCGATGCATCCGGAAAAAACAACCCCCCATATTTCAACAGCATAATCCACTCCGCCCGTGGATCATCTTGCACAAACAGGGTAACATCTCACGTTATCTAGGCCACAGGAAAGACACGAAAACACAAACAGACATAAAGTCGGCAAAAAAAAACTTTCTCACACAACCCTCAGTCTGCAAAGTATAAGAAAAACAAATACTCGATTAGTTTTAAAATCAATATATGTGAGAAAACATCAAGAAATTTTCTTTATAACTATTATAAAGATGTTTACCGCCTCGAATTAACTATTGGACCGGATGTGTAAACTAAGAGTATTCTGATTTAAAAAATTGTCAAATTTAGATTAACAACACAATGCCAACCGCTTATCGATAATCATTTATGAGTTGGATCATACCTCCATATTATGTAATTACATATTTGATTTTTTATATAATAATTGTATTTTCAGTGTCATAATTGAAAACCATAATGAATTAATATGTAATGTAAATTTCCACCGAATTACCTATTAAGCAGTTATTGGCTAAACCTTCAACATAAACTGATGCTTGAACCTCTCATCTTAAGAAGCTCTTTCTTATTCATAATCACCACTGCGCGCTTCTTTCTTTTTATTGTTGACGCTGGCAAATTCCGTACGTAAATTGTTTTTTAATGAGTGCGTGATTATGACGTGTAAAAGCGCGATAATTATTGCTAAATTTATGCATTATTAAGATGTTTTCTCGTCGTCCGCACTTCGGTTTGTGTATGTGTGTGTCTACATTCCAGTGCTTTAACGTAGTGGAAATGTTAATAAACCTGCGATGAAGAGAAAACGGAGAACGGAGGTGGAAGAGGAGGCAAAGCAGCAACAACAAATAGCATTACAGGAGAGCGAGGAAGGCCTTCGACTGAAGAATAGCAATTGTCATCATTTAATCTAACACACCGAGCCGAAGAATTTTCTTCTGCGATGTTTCTCAGGTTATTTTTTTTATCTTTCACATTTTCTTTTTCCTTCTTTTCGCGCATGTCTTTCGAAATATTATTTGCGTTTGCAATTTTCCAATTTTGTTCGCAGCGTAAATACAAATAGCAACACGTTCGATACATTCGTTATATAAAAGCAACAATAATGCACACTAAACATTTTAGTACTACAAATATATTACATATAAAATGTAAAACTTAAATACTATTAATATAACATTCGGTTCCATTATTATATTTAAATGATAAAATGTATTTTAAGTCAAATAAATTGAACTATTGTTTAAATTGTATAGACATATGAAATAAATACATTCTTAGATATACCGTGATGCTCCATGATATAAAAAAAAAGTTGAATTGAATTAAATGGAAACTATATACATGTGTATCTATAGAAATAAACAACAAGAATACTTATAAGGTGTACCACAAGGTTCTGTCCTTGGACCATTCTACAGCAAGTAATTGAAGATTATATAATGACAATAAAATATGAACCGAAATAGCTTGGGAACCTTTTATGTGCTTAATTATAATTTGCAGTTTAAATGTTATATAACAATGCTTTGGTTCTAATTATCCAAATTAAGGAGGTACTATATAATGTATAAGTACTTATAGAAATACAAATTTGAGTTTTAATATAAACTGCAAGGCTCAATACTTGAACCAGTATCCATTTCTACAATAATATTTGGACAGTAATTGTTTGAGAAGCTTTTATGTACTTAATTATAATTCCTACAACTATGGTTCAATGGTCGTAAATCAGAAAAGTGAGAATCGTTTCTAATTTTTTGCATAATTAGAAATGGAAGAACCGAAGAAAGAGAAATGTTTGGAATGTGTTTTGGGAGAACGTACGTGATGTTACGAAAGGCTTAGTGCAGTGAGAGTGGTCGAGAAGGTCACACATCCACACGTGAATGGAACAAAGTTATGGTGCGTGTGAAAAAGAGATAGACGGAGGTTGCCGAAATCCTCGTTTCCTATTTCCGACTTTTAATAGGTGTCTCCTATTTCTCAGGTACTCTCTCGCTCTGGCACTTTCTGACAAACGCAATCTATTTTTCCATAATTAACGCGAACAGGAAGCGGCGTCTCCTCGCTAGGATATTCCCAGCGTCTGCGTCGGAAACGCACAAATAGCTCGCGTTCCAACGGCACGCTTCGTCCCGAAAATCTCAAAGAGACGTCGCGACGCTGCTTGGACCATCGCCAGAATGCAAGCAGACACAATAAGGCGACGCCACACACTCTCGTACTATCGAACAGACAGACTACCACCTCCTCCTCCTCAACATCTTCTTCCAACCCATTTTATTTCTTTATTGTTTTGCAACACCAAAACGAGAACAACAAGTCGATGAGAAGGATGAAACCAGGCATGCGAGCCTCGAGACCGAGATATGACCTAATTGCCTCGATTTCAATTCAAGTACACACCGTACGTACATTATACATCACAAATAATGTCATTACAAATCGAATTAACACTACCTGGAACAAACAGTTAACAACTACCTCACGAAAAATTCACGTCACAGCTATTACCATTTATAATTGTTAAGAAGTAATTTATAAAAATAAAATATATAACTGCTTTAGAAATATAGTTAAATAGGCAAACAAATGAAAAGTATTTCTTAATCTAGAAGAAAATAATTACATATATTTAAGTTCCGCAAATGCGACACCAAACATTAATAAACAATGTCCAATTTTATAGGAGCCTTGTGTGACATCATTAATTCTTAACTGGTTCTATATTAACTCGTGATTTTGTAACAATCGCAGAGTATCATTTAATTTAATAACTAATAATCATGAAAAGTTACGAAATGACTGAATTGCAAAATGGTATGGCAATATACTACTATTGTTACATGCAGTTTAGCAATAAGAATATATGTTAGATACTAATTGACACTTTAATTGGAGTTGAACAAAATAATCCGTGTAACTGCCAATAAAATTCCATTTAGTTATATGTAAATGCTTTATTAGGTAACAAATTTACATAAATCATAATCAATAACTCTATTAGCAACATACGTTTCTCAATAGTGCGTAAATATTAATACGTTATCATCAAATTAAATTGAACCATGCGAAGGGCTACAATTCAAGTCTCTCAAACAAGATCTATTGAATCTTATCAATATATAAATTAGATGAAGCTAAAAAGTACATCCAAACAGAACAAATAATACCACGAAGTGAAAGAATTTTATCATTGAGTAAATAACTCAGAAATGTACATTAAATACTACTTTACTTATACCTATTATGTTTTTCAACACCTAACAGTCAAATCTTAATATATTCCAATGCGGAAAGTATTGTGAAAGTAATCAGCGCTCTGTTTGATCGTGATTGCGTTGCAGAGGTTTATTTACGTATAAACACCCGGTACGTAAACATCGGCTTGTTTACTGTTTGTTTTTCCATTGAGAACGTGGGGGATAAATAAAAATCGAAGTTTTATACGTGTAAAAAGGAAATACAATGCCGCGCTCTAACGCCGGGGGAATCCTTAAAACAGGCACGGATTCTATTATGTGCCCTTACCGTGATTGGGGAATGAAGTACAAAAGGGAAGAAAGTGGTCGCAGTAGTAAACATAGTAGTAGTACTACAACCTTTCCTTTGACTTGCAGCACTCCAATTTCGATTTCGCGGTCTTCCTCCCTTCTGTTCCTTTCTCCGATTCGAACAATATAAATATAAAAAAAGGAATTCGAAGGACGTAGGGAGGGCGCGAGAAGTTTATGACCAAGGCCGCCCTGCATGATAATTTTACGCATCGCGTCGTCAGGAAATACAAAAATGACACACACACACACAGAAAAAATTCAAACGTCAAGCTTATCTCTTTCGGATTTCTGTTAGGTATTAGAAGTAGTGGAACTGGTAGTGACAAACTTAGGAAAAAATCTGTTACTTTTTTCCCCCAAATTAGTCACGCTATAATCGTAATTAATTAAATACGACGGTCGGCCTCATTAAACGTCTATTCCAGAAAAGATGAGGAAAGAATAGAAGAAACACAGAAAAAAGAACGACATACACACATTGCAAGTAATTACACGCGGGCGACAAAATTCTTCAGAACGCCACCGCCATTGTCTTTTCCTTCTCGCCGCGGCAATAATTACGTAACGCGACGTAAAGTTGAGGAGATAAGGAAACAATTGCGAATTGTTCTATGCCAACGCACGAAATTAGAGCTACCGGAATGAAAGAAAAAATATAATATTTATTCGAAATCCTTGACGCAAAGTAGAAAACTATTGTTGAGCCTTTCAAGTCTCGTATATTAATAATTTAAATTAATAGATTTAAAATAATCATATGAATAACGTCTAAATACTACGTGATACTTACCAAGTAACTATTCATATATTTTCCGATTGTGAATGTTTCTATAACTATACGCAGCTTATTTCTCTAGTATTGGTAAGTATCGCGTAATATGTAGTCGCTTCTACTTAATCAAAGTCAAATAAATCATTGGTGTTCACTTACCGACTATACTAAATAAAGAAGAGACTACAACTAATGCTAATATTGTCCATGGAGGCGATTTCTGATGGAACGGCCGTCTTCTCCCTGAATAAAAAAAAAACAACAAAAGTTAATATCAACATATATCACAAACTATATCGAATAAAATTATAAATTATTTAATAATAATTAATACAAACAGATGAAACCACTAACCGCACTTTCATAAATTCACGTAAAATTTGCAGTTAATATTTTAATTAATATTAATTAGAATTCTCTAATCAGAGTATGTAGAGAGAGTGAGTGAAAAAAAAGTGAAAGAAACGAAATCCCTAGTGAATTTGAATTTCATTCGAGACAGGAAGGAGAAAGTTTCCAGCGCAAAACATTAGGCGAAATATAGTTTTGAAAACAATGCCACCGTCCATAGCCAGACAATTGCAAATGCCGATGTTGCATAACGAATTCCCAACATCCAAGATAATACATATGTGTATCTCTTTTTCGTTTTCTTTTCATTCTCTAATTTGTAATTTTATCAAGACCACCCAGGGTGGTGGAGTTCTCTTCTCACAAACGCATCGAATTGAGACAAAAAAATAAAGCAAGGTACATCAAAATAAATAAAGAAGGTACAGCATGAACATGGGAGACAGCTGCGAAGAAAGTGCGATTCAATTAATCAAAAAGAAAACGAAGTGAGACTACTAAAAATAAAAAAAATAAAGAGTAAGAGATGTGTAAGCGCGAGGAAATTAAAACTCGTGTACTTTTAATTTGCAAATTGCTCTTTAATAACACGCCTTCGTAATTAAATTTAAATCCATTCCGCTTGCTCAAGTAAAATAATATCTTTTACATATTAATATTATAAATGATACAATATTACTTGAATAAAATGTGGTTCTAGTAATAAGTTTTTGACTAACGCGATTAATTGGTTCCTAGAATGTTAGCGCTACTTGAAAATTAATTATAAAAATATTTTAATAAATCGAATACCACGAAACCCTGGAATAGATAATCTTTTATGTTAAATTTCTTTCGAAATGACAAATAAGCCGATGATATGTGTTCTAAAAAGAGGTGTAAAAAACATACACACACCTATCAATTCCCACATGTTGTACACTAACATCGGAATTCCATAAATATCAACTAATTGTGTTTATGTTACAGTGGGACCCCCCTGGCATCCTTCCCACCGGCCTCCAGCAAGAAGTGGGATCGGACTTCTTTTTGTCCAGATCGGCGCCTTCCAGGTGATTTATAGAGCGCACACCTCCACCTAGGCTGGGCAGCGTGAATATGCCCATTTGTGCGACGTTGAACAAACAATGTGAGGGTATCGTTCGTCTTTCCGAAATAAATCACTGCACCGTACACACTTATATTTAGCCCTCTCATGCAAACCATTCGTCTTCCGAGCGAAAAAGAAACACGAGAGCAAAGAAAACATTATATAAATATGGTCTGAATTATGCAACGGCCGCCTATCGTGACCAAACGCAACATACTTATTTCAATTTGGAATCATATTTTTGTATTTCATTTTAAAGGGATAGAATGAAACGAAGTCAAAGTATATTTTTTGCTGGAAGCAGAGAGAAATGGTGAATTGACGATGGTTGTAGCACGCGAGGCACACGGAGATATCTCCGAAAAATTGCTTTAAGTAAATAAAGCTCTTGGCATATAGATTTATAGCTAGATTTGGTGCACGAAACCTAACATGCCCACGAGAACAAAATGCAACATTTTAATTTTTATTTCAAACGTTCAGATCAATACCCAGACTACCCGATTTGAATATGAATTCGAGTTACATTCGAGATCACCGGAGAAGTAATTCAATTTTCTGGATAATTGACATTAAATGCATACATGCATCATCCATCCGGACATACCAAGCTGTTTCTTTTGTAGAACCACGAGTTGGAATGTTTTGGAACCGGCCAATTACATTACATTTCCCGCGCGCATTTTTTACCCACTTTCCGTCTAAAAATAGCCGTCCGATCCGCGCGTTTCATAAATGAAAGTAATGATGATGATGAGGAGCAAAGTGCCAAAGCCTTCGTCCCTCTCGTTCGTCGGTCTGGACGGAAAGAGTGGATTTTTGTGAGTCAAGTTCATTAACTCTCTCCGGAGTTGCTCGTGATGACGTAAACAATTGCAAATAAACTCGAGAAATCGCTTCTTTGTGGCTGAAATTTTCGGGTTTAATAAAGGACAAAAAGGAAGAGGAGTCTCGACACACGGGGCCAAGAAAAAAAAAGGGGAGACAGAGAAGAGATCCTACATATGTATACGAGGATGATATAACCGCACCGGATATCGCTGTTTTTAATTCTTCTTTCTTGGTCGTCCAATTAAAGAAATGTCGAAGAGAAAAAAGCGTTTTAAATATTACACGAGAGAATGAACTCATTACTAAAAATAAACACAGAGCAAGAGAACATAAAGAAATACACTTATATGTGTTCGTATAAAGGAACCAATAATAAACAGCAAGAATGGATTTAAAACATTGTTACAAAAAGCTTTGATAATTAGAATAATGCATTTTGCGTATCTAAAAATATTAAATGGGATCTTAAAAATGCATCAAACGTTATCTTCCAGCGAACAAAGCTTTTTAACCTTGTGTACAACTTAAATGAAAATATGTCACACATCAGTAACGCTTGTTTACAAAAATTAACATTTTTAGTTATTTATGATAAAAATAGTTTATACGGTTGGAGGTAGGCAGTGTAGTTTTGAGAAGTTGTTTAAGTTTAAAATTATAACTATAATTATCAAAAATACTGATTACATTTAAAAGTTTGCAATTGAATGCAGATATTAAACGCGAAAATATTGAATACCACGCAAAAAAACTATTACCAAACATCTGTACCACTAAATTCACGAACTAACCAAACAATAGTAATTCACATCTACTTCTATTCGAAATAAAAAGAATTGTGCTACGTATAATAAAGTTTGTATTTATAACGATGTGGCGAAGCAATGGCAAATGACAGCCATCGTTGCCAACGTAAATTTAGCCATTTTCGTGACTCAGGTTAAGCCGCTTTTCTTATATAATATCCGTTCTTTCCCGTACGTTGTATTTTTTTCTCCGCATACGATCATAATTAAAATCTACGAGCAGTGCAAATTGTCGAGGCCTTTATAATTAAGGAAAATAAATTATTGATGTTCTATAGGCGCAATTAATCACACTTCGGTTTCTCGTTTATATTGGGAACAACGACCATAGACGTTGATTCGAAAACCAAAGCATACACAAAATATAGTCACATCTATTCAATTAACTTTTAATGCCATACATTCAGCATCGGGCGTAATAATATGATATATACTTGGATAGAAGATGTACATTATTATATTTAGATACTGCAGTTTACGCGATTTGATGATGTCACAGTTTGGCATTGGCGTCGGAAGACCTCGATTTGGTAACGGGAACCAATGCCAAAGTGACTAATGCACAATACAGAAACAATAGTCGAAAAACATAACCATTTTCCTTCTTCCTCTCTCCATTTATCTGTGTGTCTATGATGGTTAACAATTACACAGTTTTAATTAATTACCTTAACGTGGAATATATTTCTAGAGGCTCACGCAATGCAATGTAAAGCGACACCAACCAATTTATGGTAAGATTTTGATTTAAGCCCAGAAACGCATCGAAGGGCCTTATATAATGTGGAGGCACGCGAGATAGGACATAGAACTGCACACATGCACTAAGTTGTGGGGATGTACTGAAGTTCAATGACCCACATACAGGACGCATCGAAAAAGATGAACACTACAACAACCCGCCCAAGAAGCCCTTCAATACCAAACGAAAAACTCTCATTAGCATACTATGCTAATAACGACCGAGACCAACGAAAATATTAAGGGGGACCCAAAACAATATTCAGATGCATTGTAGTTTTAATAATTAATAAAAATGTCAAATTTTTAGATTAATGTGAGTAGCATATAAATTTCCCGCGTTTTTTTTCTTCATTTTTTTAAATTTATGAACTAATTCGCAGTATAAAGGATATTTAATATTTAGTACAAGTATAGCACAACATAAATTAGTGATTTATTAAACATAGTAAATTATGAGGCAAACCGGAAGAAAATAAGTTTTTTCCCCGTCGTTTCACATATCTTTCAAATTAAAAACGCATTTAAGGGTGCGTTGCTTTTCATTCCATTCCCACACTCTGTTACAAAGAATATGTTTTGTTACTAAAATGTAAAATTACCTAATTTTGGTACTATTTTTGTAGAAAATAAATTGGAGTTGTTTCAATCCTTAAATACGTTGAATGTTGCTGATGAATATGCATGATTGCATAAAATGCGCCAAGGAGAAAGTTTAATAACAGTTTTTACGCGATTTCAAAACAATAAATACACTTGCGTTTCGAAAGAATTTCCGTAAATAGTATCAAACCAAAGGAGTTGTAACTGAGATATGCATAACATCAATATTTTTTTACCACAATTGTTTGGATTCTCGTATTCCTCAACCGCAATATTGAATCTTAAAAATGATTATATAACTAAGAACGACGCATAATAAAATATTATTTTGTTACAATAAAAATGTTATAAAAAACGTTTTTATTCTTTACTTTTAAAATTACATTCGTGGCGTAGGAACGAACATTAATCAGATGTAATAGATTAAAGGACGACAGACAACGAAAGCAATTAGAAGATTATAGGCAATAGGAAGATTAAACGAATAAATTCGCGTTCGTTCGTTGTAAACAATTGAAAACCGGGAGGCCAATTGTCGATCAATCAATCGACTGGATCCGAGCATCAACGGCAAATGGAAGAACGTTACGTGCCGTAAATAATTCAAACGCGCAATTGTCGTAATGTAATTATTGTCTTAGCAATTTAATTAATTATTCAGATTATCGTTAATGGCCGATAATTGTGGACCGACACGATCGATGAATTAATTAAACTTACGCAATTAATTCGTTATATTAAAAGACAACTTCATTTAACCCACGCATATATGCAATTACGATGTATAAAAACATCAGTGCATATTCTCTCTTTGCCTAAATCGATTTATTAATTAATTAGTGAGTTGCATTATTTTAATATTTATTTAATTAATTATATGCAAACTGATCTTAACAACTATTTACATATAATTAATTAAACTTATTTGATATTATTATGTTTTTAATATTATAATGGTATCGAAACTATTAACTTTTTTAATGTTACTTCAAATAATATCTGCTTTTACTATTTTTAATGAAATAGTAATGATCTTCTAGAACTTCGTTATAGAAACAATGTTTATAAACAAACAATAGTCATTAATTGCAAATACACTTAGAGATATGTCAAATAGCACTAGCTTCTAAAATAGAGTCGTGATCTAAAAATAAGCAAAGCGCCACACTAGTAGTAGGTATTTGTATCCGTGTGTGTGTATGTACTTGAATAATGCTTGACTAATTTTTGTTAGTGCTGCATTCGTGAAGGCTCGAAATGAGAAGGAGAGGCGATTGCGCTCTATTTATTAGTATTTTCTAAATGTTTACGCGTTCCCTAATTAAGAGTGTTTTAAAAATATAGGGTGATGCACGTTCGCAGCGATAATATTTACTTCTTGTAGTTTATATAAGATTCCGAGCGAACTGAAGAGCAACAAGAGGATGGGATGGAGAAATAAAATAAGAAGAAACCGCCAAGAGTGAAAAAGTGAGCAAGTAATGTGGGTCAATTGGTAGGCTCGCAAATTGCCAGTTTCCACCGAGTGTGTTTTTAAAAGGCTCTTCGACTCGAGAAAATGCTCGTACGTGTACGTATGCATGTATAAAGATATATATACATGTATATATTTGTGACAGTGAGTAAAGTATAAAAGGAAATGAATAATTGTGAGTGGGTGGCGCCACTTAAGGCTCGTGCCGCGCAAAAATAAAGAGACCTACAAAAGAAACTATTTGAAAAGAAAAAAATATTGTAATCATATACCATCGGCTCTATGTAGAAAGAAACATCTCAGCCCACTCTGAAGGTTATATAAATAGTAATTTAAGTCACAAATAATTTCAATGAAAAATAAGTAATTCCATTTAATTATAAAGAAAAACTCAAATTGAGATGAATCAAACAATTTAGATAGCATTAAACACTACTTTTACAAGAATTCACTAAAAAAAATAAGTATTAATAAACATAAATATAGATGTTTTTGATTAATAATTAATCACTTTTATATTCTAATGTAATTTATGGAGTTGTTTTAACAGTATATGGAGAGTCAAACTTATTTCAATTAGCTGGAGTAATCTTTTTCGAGACCTAAACTAATTGAAAGATTGTAACTGACAGATAACAGTAATGAATTTCGTAAATGTTAACTCTATAAGAAACTGCAGTATTTCCGGTGCTGCAATTAACAAGAAAAAACAATATCTCACAGAAGATATCGCCCATGAATGTTATGCTATATCACTGTAATCTGGGACACATAAATGTTTCCTCGGGATTCGCAAGGTTTTTTTTACACTGTGCACATCCGATCTGTCAACTTCATGCCCTCGAAATCGATTACGATCGCGTTTAATGAGATTTCTTCGCTGGGGATTTATAATATTCCTCTTCGTTCTTTTTTTCCTTTAATTTTTATTGTATGCGAGTGTGAGAGATTATAATGAAACAGTTAGGTATTCAGTGGCCTGCATCTAATTTATTTGTTTACGCGGCGCTGGTGAATTAAAATTCGCTGCCCCCGACGAGCGCATTGTACTCTCTTCTCCCGTATTTCGGATTAGAATTCAAATCAAACGAAATATATTCATGAAACGCTGACTTCTTCTCTTATTGTAGTAGAAAGGCTATGCTGAATCCGTTGCAAATTCAAAATAGAAACGACTTGCACGCAACAATAATTTTCTTAATTGATATTTACAAAAAATAGATTTGAAGCATATCTTATAATTTTATCAGAAGATTGATAAACATGTATTTGTAGGGTCTATATCGCAATCCCGACAACCGAAAGACCGTCTATTGAAATCCCAACTATGTCAAAATCCCGACTATATCAAAATCCTGACTACCATAATCCCGACAATCGAAATCCCGACTACCAAACAAATGTTATTGTAGAAATTTATAATAATAAAAGACACTGTCGGGATTTCGATATAGTCGGGATTATGGAAATAATCATGTACGTATTATCGAATGTTAATAAGACGCTAACTTAAGTTTAGTAAAAAAGTAGATTCATAAAAAGTGTACTCTGTAACCCACATATAAATCTTCCTGTTAAATGTTAGGCCTTCGCATTCTCGATTGGTTTATGATACCCCACAAATCATGAATCTAACATAGAGGTAAGCAATAAAAAGAAATCAACTAAACAGGCAGAGAGAAAATGTGTGACAAGCAATTCAATTGTGTCGTTACGCTTTTGAATGTGTTATGTGTGTCTGTGTGTTTAAGGAAAAAGTAATTAGCAGTTTTCCAAGGCAAGCAACAAATTTATCGCGGATAGATTGTTTCTCACGCTCTCGCAAGCAAACATACATACAAGATTTACACGTAGAATCAAAGCCAAATACATATAACAAAATAATAATAAAAACGATATCGCTTTATATTGATATTAGCTTGAAGATGCTATGGACTTTGCGGAGAAAGGACTTACATAAAATTGATTGTGCAAACTTAGATCATTATTGCATAAATAATAAATTTGAAACTATACAGCTATACATTATTTAATTAAAGTACGACGTCCTATCCACTTCTCAAACACGACAGATTAATTTATTATGTCCTATTAAAGTAATTTTAATATCAATAACTTGTAACTATGATTGTACATTTGTTTTTCATTAATTAAATTCGATTTATTATATTGAATCAGATAGATAATCTAAGTCTTAGATCCTAAGACAATATTTTTATAGAAACTTAATTGAAGATAGTTACTCAGTAATTTCAAAGTAGAGTATTTTGATACCATGCAGCCAAAAAAAATAAGTAAAAACAATGATTATATAATTATACATTTTACATAAAAAAAATATGTCTTATAGTATGCAAATACGGTAAATTGTGTAAAAATATATGTGCAAGTTACCTTTAAACCATTAAAAAGTAAGTTTACTGCATGTAAAATATTGATTTGTGAGTACTATAATATTTTTAAATATATTTTTTTCTCATTACAATTTAATTAAATACGTCAATATTCACACCAGAAATTTCGACTACACAGAGATTGCGCATTATATTCGAGATTTTAAGATAATATATAATTTTCTAAAGTACGAATAAAATACATGATTTGAAATGGCAAATCAAATACCGGATCTTAGCAAAACATAAAGTACCCGATTTGCACAAAGTCAATTATTCATATATGCAACGTTTATAGAGGATTCATAAAAAAGCGAAACACTTTATGCGTTACTTTTTTTTGTAGACTATTTAACACGCGACAGGCGTAGTGCTGTGAATGGATAATCGATTATGTAAAAGCATTGCGACTAAACAAAACAGAAAAAAAATCCGCAGCGCCTAGTAATAAGCCGTCGCCGGAAGTTCGGTTGCGAAAGAGCGAATGAAAAATTGGCGAATAAAAAAATAAATGAAACAAACGGATGCCAAATGCATATCCGGCCTGTGAAAAAAAATTGCCACGCGAGAAAGACGTAGAGTGAGAGAAAGAAAGAGACGGAGAAAAATCTGTATGCAAATTATTCGAATCCGAACGATTCGATGTTGATGGGAACAGCTTCTTTCGGTTTGTATCGTAACAATCGAATTATTATTTTTGGTACGCATGGAAATTATAATAAAAAAAAGAAATGAATTAGTAATTATTAAGCAACGAAACGGAAGAAATTTTAATTACGACCTGTAGATAATTAGCGCGAAGACCGCCCTCTGAATGAGTCCGAAGAATTCGACCTAGTTCGTAGCCAATTGGAGAGAATTCTAATTATATTGAGACGCGATTTGGTGTTAATACTCTGTGAAATATTAGCGGGATGCGGTTTTTGTTGAGGTGCAAGGACATTGGTTGTTGTGAGGCTTACCTGAGAATCTTGCTAGGAAACGGTGGAAGCCTGTGGCGAGGACCTGCGCCAGGCACCGCAGGACTAGCAGCAGTGGGGCCTTACTGCAGCAGGGCGGCTGCCGCCCCCAGCCCCGTGTCGCACACATCACGTGCGCCACTGAAAAATAGATAAAAAGAAAATTAAAAATCTATACAAAATTAAATTATAAAAGTCAACTATATACATAACGTTATAGAAAAAACAATGGAACCTCGCTTAACGAGCAAAATTAATTTTAAGAAAAATGACTTGCTTAACGAGCGACGTTTCGCATAACAAGTGACAATGAGAAGAGAAGTCCCGGAATGCGCGCTTGCTACATCATTTTTAAAACTTGTACATACATTATGTATATTTTTTAATATGTTTCACTATACGAGTAAAAATCCGGAAATTTTAGAACGGATTAAACTCGTTAAGCAAGGTTCCACTGTTTTATACTATGCAAATTTATTTTTATCGTAACATATGTATAATACTAATTTATCAAAAAATGTTAAATACTCAACATACATAAATCTTAGTAAAAAAATGATATTAGTAAGAAAACAAGAAAATTTGTAAAAATTTTAAATTAAAAATAATATCTCATTAATATTGGTGAGTCCATAAACAGTCAATTTAGAAAGCGCCCTTTTCCCCATAGAGCAGAGCTCCTTCCAATTTTCATTCCAATAATGAATTATTGACATTGTAAATCTCGTCCTGTTTTCTTCCTATCTGTTTTTTCTTCTTCTCTCCTTCGTTCGTTCCTCTGCCTCTGAACAGTCCGATGATAATTACGTAACGTTTTTATGAGCCCCGAAGATTGGGTGGAATGTCATAAATCTATTGTTGTTACGACCGCAGCGAGGTGGGAACGGACACTATTCTGTCTCGCTCCTCCGCTCGGACCCTCATCACATTTGCCTTGTCTGTTCCTTGCTCAGGATACGTATACATACACACATACGTATCTCTTTTTTTAATTCCCGATCGGATCGGCGTGCTAAATTGCATTTACCGGAGGCCGTCGGGGCAGTAGGCGCCGCGTGGGCCAGGCCAGCTTTATATTGCCCCAAGTTCGATAAATAAAGAAACCGCCGCCACTGCACTAAAGTCCCATAGGAAAACCAAAAATGGATAAAAAAAAATGAGGAAGAAAAAATAAAATAAAAAACACAGAGGGAATAGGAATGAAATAAAACAAACAAACACAGAATACGTATAGGGCGTGAGATAAAAAGAGATGCTGGGGGAGAGGCGCATTCCGAAACTGCAGGGGCGCTAAAACATTAACGATTGAATAATTCAATAATGTACCACACTTGTGTAGAAAACCCACCGCATGCGACGATAACATTGAAATGTGACTTAGATTAATCGTCAAACATCAAATACAAATAAGACAAATTAAGAGTAAATCAGAGGAAAGACAGCAGATCCAAAGTGTGACAATAAAATAAACATTTATTGTTTATTTTCAGTACATTCCAGTTTGATTGATAAGTGTCAGATTCATATACAAATTTGATATTTTACAGAAACTTACAACTATGTATACATTCTTATGTCTCTAGTATACGTAAAAATGTACTGTTCAAAATGTATAATCAATATATTACCAATTTAATTATGAATAAAATTTGTATAATTTTAAATAAACTACTATATTTATATTTAAAATTAATAATTCATCTTTATATACTCGTTGTTGATATAAAACGATGATTATTGTAAAAATATTCAATTGTTTCGTAATTATTAAGCAAAATTGAAAATATAAACAGTGAAATTCTCCGTAATACAAAATTAAGAAGAATTAATTAATAATAGTTGAGAATGATACTAAGATAAATTTGATTCACTAAGCTTCAATGTAACATTTTTATTTAAAGATATTTTGTTTATTTTGCATAGATTCAAAACCACTAAATATACTAATAATAGAAAACTAATAATTACAAATCGCCGCAAAACTAAATGAATTGCAACACATTTGAACTCGTGTTTTCCAAGCATTGTTAGTTTTCAGATTAGACTTTTGCGACGATAATAGAATACATAGCATACATCTTGTCATTCCTTATCGAGTTACAAAAGTATTTGCGAAATGATACCATTATACGTGAAAAACTTTTGACGTCAGACCGGATTTACGTCCGAACTTCTATTCCAATATATTATGAACATCTATCTACAAAGATTTGCAAAACTTTTCGTCGATGCAACTTCGATAAAAGAATTTTCTTTCGAAATTGAGTCATTCAATATTCTCAAGCACACGTACTAAAAATAATCGAACGTTGTAAAGTAACATTCTTTATTTGTATCCGCGTTATTTTTACATAGAAAAATCACTCATAACTGTTTCCATTATCAATCGATTCAATTCACATTTGCGGTTTTTACGTGCATGAGTCAAGTTATAAACATTCAAAGATAAAATAAAAATGTATTTTTAACATTTCATCAATAATATTAAAGTTATTATTTTTTTCGTATTCCAATTCGAGAAAACGGATATTTTTTTTATAAAATTAAAATAGTAAATACTTTTTTGCTTGATTTTTTTAATATGTTTATTTCGTAGAAGCTATTTTATTTACTTTTTCACCGAAATGTAATTACAGTGTTAAGGATAGAATGTGATTACATTAACTATATCAGGTCTGTCTAATATAACACCATTATTTATGAAGTAAGACTATGAAAATGGCAAGGATAAGTGCATTAAAATTTTATGACTAATTCCAATTGTAGTAAGTGCTGCGAAATTCCGAAGGGAAGCAAGGAAAACATGTACATGATCCCTGAGGGATCAGTCCCCCCGAAAAAAGTGCAGACACGCACCCTTGGGTCAAAACGAAGTGCATGAGGCTAAACTGATTAAGCAAGGTGAAGGAACGATTGCCGCGAATTGCGTTTGAATAAAAAATGAGCCGTCGGCTAATCCAATATATCGTGATTACGGCACGAATGTGTCATAAGATCCCTTTTGGGAATGATGCAATAAATTCCGACCGAATAAATAAAAGAATACGTATTATTCAAATGTGCGATTGCTGTTAAATCGTATTGATCCTTGTTTCCACAAAGAAGAAAAATAAGTGCTTTGTGACCCACCGTTGTCCGATAAGGAGGAAATCTGAACTTGTCGCATTTCTACTGCATTCCATGGACATGAAAGGAAATCCAGAGCCAGAAGTAAAATAAAATATCACCAAGAACAGAGAGCGTCGGAAACAAATAACATTAAACGCGAAGGATTAGAAACTGTTGAAAGCAATGGTCTTTTATGTGACTGCACACACAAAACTGTAAAGCGCATAACGGTATTCCGCATAGTATAAAAATATATTATAATACAATAAAATGCAAAATGGATTAATTACGTTTGTATAATGACTGAAGTGAAAAATCGAAACGGATTTATTATGTAAATGGACACGCCATTAGATTTGATCGGATCCGGATTGCGCAATTGATTGTTGGGGGCTGTGATTTGAAGAAAAGCTTTGAATCTTTTATGCGGCAATGTCGAGTGGTTTGCTCCACATAGCTGCAAAGTTGAGTTGTTGAATTATTGAAAGGTAAAAATTGCTCGACAATTGATCACCAAATTAATGATATTTGCATTGGTTATGGGGTTTGAGTGGATGTCTAAGTCTGTGGTGTATGGACAACAGGAAATGCAGTGATTCGTTTTGTGCCCATTCATTTTTTTGCATTAAAAACTCGTTAAAATGAATTGTTCCACGCGAAAGAAAGAAATAAATAAAGAAATGAGGGAAAGACGATGAGCTGCGACTACGGCAGAAACAGACAGACTGGGACGACGAACACAAGAGGAAGACGCCCATAATTTACGCAACAATAAAACGCAAATTATCTTTTACATACGTTGTAATTTCGCATTATCAAAACACTATTACCAGAAGAAAGAATTACGTGTTCCCCCTTGTTTCCTTAATGGTAGACGTACGTGCGGAAAAAATTGCAACAGAAATACATATGATTTCTTCTTCTCCTTCGGTAGACAATACATCTTCACATCTTAAGCAAAATGCAAACGTTATTTCACAAGGTCCTTAAAACTGTAAACTATCAAATTAACTTTAAAAAATCGTTTTCCTATTTAATTAGTAAATTATATAATTAAATCAACTTACTAATTTTACATATATAAAATATACTTATACCAATTTTAATTAAAATAATTACATAATAAAAAGATAAAATCGTGCTTAAACAAACTTTTAGAAAATGTCATACAAATACTTTAGTTTCATTGTAAGTAATATTTATAATTCTTGTAAAATAATATTATTTATCTATAAAAAGAGAATATGTAATTAATATAAAAGTTATTCATAAAACAAAATAAATTTTGAATCAGAATAATTAAAATTAAAAAAAATGTAGAATTCAAAGGTTTGTATAATAATGACCTGACCTGACTTTAATTACACGAATATTAATCTCGTGATTACGTGTTCAATGAGCCCACGTTCCTTAAAAAAACTGTAGCATTAACTAATCCGGCGATTTCGGTAAATTAATTAGATTAAAATGATATTTTCCCGTAGAACAAGAACAAATAAAACCACCCAAGTACTAAGAACCATAAATGCTCAGTTATAAATTGGACTTTTAATTGTTCTATATTTTAATGACTCGAATTAGAATTTTGGAATTTCAATTTTTAGTTAATTAGCCAAGGTTAATGAAATGCACCTTTCCATAAATAAAACAGGAGCAGACTTTAGCAAAGAATCTCAAAATGAGTCAAATGTGCCAAAACAAGTCGAAAGACGCCACAAACATAACATTACTTAGTGACTAATATGCAAACAATTTTCTGCTGAAAATAGCAATAACCATCAATGGCAGAAGTAATTCGCACACTTGTTACGAATAATAAAAATAAGGCGACGAACGAGGAGCAAAGAAATAATTTCTATTTATAGATTGGAAAGTACCGAAATGGAAAAAAAATCGTTGCAAAACGTTGCGTAAACCGTCGCAACGTAGCCGAAACAATCCAAATTATTTGTAAGACAACGAGGCAAAATATAAATCAGGAAGGTGGAATAAAAAAATAGATTAAGTTAGATATTTAAAAGTTGATTGCGCAA